CCGTGAAAAAGGTCTCAGCAAAACTAATTTATAAGCCAGCTAGAGCCTGGCAGGCGACAGGAAAATAACAGGTTCAAAGCTGACCTAGGGTACATAGAGAGTCCTTGTCTCAAATCAAAACAAACAGAAAATTAGTAAAAGTGCCAAAGTATTTAGGGGGAAATGAACTGATTTCTGTAATTTGACATGCATCAGCAAATCAACAAACCATCAATTTCATAATTTGCTTTAAGATTGTGGAGATGGTTTGTATTTGAAGAAAACATAGCATGACCTCCACCAAAATCTTTTAAACTAGCAAAAACTTATATCAAATGGTTAATGTATTTCATTTTAGCAGTGATGAAATCGGGGACATGTCAAGTTATTTATGCAATGATGGGCTGATTTTTTTTTCTTGAAATTAAGAATGGTATATCTGAAAATTGATGGTGTTTTATTTTATTTTTATAATTTTTTAAAATTTTATTTATTATGTATACAGTATTCTGCCTGCAGGTGGGCCTGCATGCCAGAAGAGGGCACCAGATCTCATTACAGATGGTTGTGAGCCACCAAGTGGTTGCTGGGAATTGAACTCAGGACCTTTGGAAGTACAGCCAGTGCTCTTTTTTTTTTTTTATCAGTTACATTTTATTAACTCTGTATCCCTGGCCAGTGCTCTTAACCTCTGAGCCATCTCTCCAGCCATGGCATTTTAGATTTAATAAAATATGGTAAATTTAACCAGTCATAGTTTATTATAAAGATAACACCTTTGCTGTAGGTACATTGAAGTACACAGAAAGGAACTAAGATTTAAAGTCACGGGCCTGGAGAGATGACTTAATGGTTAAGAGCATTGATTGCCCTTCCAGAGGACCTGGGTTCAATTCCTAGCACCCACAACACAGCTTACAACTGTCTGTAACTCCCAAGACTTGACACCCTCACACAGACATATGTGCACATTAAAAAAAATCACTTGTTCTAACATGCAGAGATAGTGTTAATGTCAGAGCACGTGGCTTTGCGCGTTTTATCATGAAATTCATTTGTATTTCTTAAAAATTTGTTTACACATATTTATTTATTTTTGTTTGTGTGTGTCTATGTATATGAACATACATGCACATATTAAAAATAGGGGACAACTTGTGGGAGTTAGTTCTCGTTATCCATTGCATACATGGATTCTAGGGGTTAAACTCAGGCTTCTTGCTCATCAAGTTTGTCTTCACTTACTGACCCATTTTGCCAGCCCAACAATTCCTTTGTTTTATGTATACCTTATTTATATAGGCCCAAAGAAAACAGATTTAAAGTTATGATTTTGCATTTGTTTGTTCATTTATTTTACTGTTTATCTGTGTGTGACTATGTGAGGGTATGTGTCTACTGCGATGTTCCAGCAGAAGTCAGAGGACAGCCTGGGAACCAAAAAGGGAATTGGTTATCCCCTTTTGCCAAACTGTCTGTGTCCTGGGGATCAAACACGTCATCAGGCTTGGTGACAAGTGCCTTTGATAACTCAGCCAATTTTCAGGCCCAAAATAATAATATATTACATATATTTTTTTGTGCACTTGTATTGTGACCCTGACTTGCTGCATTAGATCAGGTGTGGGATACTCTATTTGTGATACTAATAATTGGCTCTCAAACTTTCAGAGTTTGGAGTATTTTGGATATTTCTTTTTTTTTTTTTTTTTTTTCTTGAGACAGGATCTCTGTGTAGCCCTGGCTGTTCTGGAAATAGCTCTGTGGACCAGACTGGCTTAGAACTCACAGAGATCCACCTGCTTCTGCCTCTCAAATGCTGGGATTAAGGTGTGCACCACTTCCACCACCTGGTTTGGCTTTATATTTTTAGATCAATTTGTAACAACGTTCTTGTTGCAGTTTATATCCAGGGGAAACAATGAGGCGGTCTTTACTGCCAAATGAAAAGTTCCTTGGTAGTGCGTATATATCAAGGGCCATATGCTGGTAGTTGGGAAATGCAGAGTGCTCTTAAAGGATAAGGTGGAATTAAGGAAAAAACATTCCTACTTCATAGAGAGGAAAGAGTGGCCAAAACCCCAGAGAAACAGAACATGTTCGATAGAGGAATTTTAATTCAGAACGTGGCTGCTCTGCAAGAGATCATATCCAAAGACCTAGGTCTATGTGATCTGGCTGGAATACAAACATGCCTTTAATCCCAAGAGACAGAGGTAAGCAGATCTCTGAGTTCAAGGCCAGCCTGGTATAGAGCAAGTTTCAGATAAAGAAAAGCTTTAATCCCAGTACTAGGAGACAGAGGCAGGCAGATCTCTGAGTTCTAGTCAGTTCTGTTCAGGAGTTTGGTTGAGTCAGTGAGTCGAGAGGAAGTGCAGTGGAGCTGAGTTTGTGGAGTTTAGAGGCAGTTTTTACCGGGAGAGTTTTATAGAGACAGAACAAACTAGACACAGATAAAGACACAATGAGCCAGAGAATGAGAAGGAGCCAGAAGATTAGAACAGATTGCTAAAGTTAGTTT